GACAAAAAGCGTTTTAATTATTATTTTGTTCTGTTGTATATAGATTTTTTCTTTTGGGTTTGTTAAATGTGTTTTTTTAATAAACTGATTTGCCTAAAATATAATATTATATAGTTAAATTTGTTTAAAATTAAATATTCATATTTGCTAAGAATTGATAATTTCACCCTTCTTTCTTTTTTTTTGTTGTAAGTAAAATTTGCATTCGAAAATCTAAACATTGCTTGATAATTTTTTTTTTTTTATTCTCTCCTTCCCAAATATAAGATATATGTATCAAAAGAGAGGCACCTATCTTTTTATTTGTACGTTCAAACGATGCAATTGTTTATCATTCTAGTAAAATACTTTACTAGTGATGATAAAAAATGAGGTAAAACATCGCTTTGGAAAATTCAGAGAATAAGAAAAACCTGTGAACATTCCTCATTGTTTATAGTAAAGTGTTTTACTAAGGTGATCCGCAGTATCAAAGAGAGGTGTCTCTTTTGGTACATAAATATTATTATCCATAACATAAATATATACACCTATCCCGATTTACCCGGTAGATACGTTCCTGAGAAAACGTGTAAATCGAAAATTAAAAATGTTCAAGTCAAAACCGTGTAAATCGAAAAGCTTGCAGAAAATGCATACTTTTTCTATTTAACAGTTGTGATTTTTTTCAATATTTTTAGGTGTACACAGAAATAAAAATAAAATGCATTGACAGGTTAAAATATGTAATATATTACGGAAACACTGTTTTTTTAATATAATTACAATACATACATAAACAGAAGAACAAAAAAATAAAACCAAAGGTGTTTTATTATCCTTCATCACTGTCAGAAATTACTCTCATTCTTTTTTTCGGAATCGAAGGTTCGAATTCACTTTCATTACTCGAAGTTATTTGTGCCGATTCGATGTTTGATGCAGAAATATTTACATTATGAGATATGGTAATAAAATCGGTTATTAACAATTGCTTCGAATTTTTTGTAAGATCTTTGTAAACTTCTTCTTATTGTGTATTCTATATTCTTAAAATTAAAGATACCTCGGCCAGTATAAATCTTTTTATTAATTCGATATTTCGACAAAAATCTTTTGTTCTCGCCAGGAGCAAAATATGATTAAAGCATTTGACAAGGCGTTAAGAATTAAAAAAAAAACTAAAAAAGAGAATACATTTTAACGCTTTGCCAAATGCTTTAATTTTTATTTACTCCTGACGAATACAAAAGATTTTTGCTGAAACATCGAGATAATAGAAAGATTTACTGACCGAAGTATCTTTCATTTTAAGAACTATGAATATCGGCCAGGCAACCTCTATTTTCACGATAAATATATGTTTCTAATAGTATATATGTCTTGTATTCTAACCTTCTATTCGATTGTGTATATGATTAGGTATTTTGAAAATAGAGCAATCCATAAATAAATATTTAATTAAAAAGGCATATATTGGATCAAAATATTATTTATTTTACCAATATATCAGTTGGCTGAACGCCAACCTTGATAAACACCTTGATAAAGGTTGACGTTCAGCCAACTGTAATATTGGTAAAATAAATAATATTTTGATCCAATATATGCCTTTTTAATTAATGATTAAGTATGAAATAAATCTTCTATGCGATTTTTTATTATATCTTCTATAGAATGTACAGAACATAATAGTTATCTCCAACGCAACCTATTTGCTTTCGAATAAAATTAATAAATCCATTGTATCAATGCATAAGGTTCAAAATTCAAAGGCTTAACTATTGTACTATCTCCGCCTTTGCCGGTCCCAAGCCCGGATGAAAAAGGAGAAGGGGGAGCAGTAACAAGCTCGCTAAACAACCTGGGCTCAACTGGCCCGGCTGATAGTACCCTGTAAGGGCTCCAGGGATACAGGATGAGCAGTGTTTGTACTCCATGTTGGGAGCGGCTGCACATGACGTCTGTTTTTCATGTCAGAGGCGGCCATTTCTTTTGGAGCTAAATCGGCCTGCCACTGAGTAATGCTCCAAGTCTTAATGACAAAGGCAGACGCATTCTACTTCACCTAGTCATGATGGTTGTCAAACAGACACCATCAAGGGTCACAACTTGATACCCTAATGTGATTGAGTGGAGATAAGAAAGAAGAGGAGACTGTATTACAAAGCTATAGATTACCAATATGGTGTTCGAAGCTTTCAATTACATTCTCTATTCAATGAATATATATGTCCGGCGTGATTCTGACATACACGCACAGCTCACTTGACGTTGCCATCGAAACAATGGTGTCAACATACCTGAATGACAGCCTTTATTCTAAATGTTTCATTTTTTTATATAGAACTAATTAATAGATAGTAATCTACTTATATGTCGTTAAAATAATTAATTGGTTGAATATTATATGTAGCAGGGAGTCACGTCAATGATTTTGTATTTTTAAAACATTAAGGACTGAATTATTATTTTTTTAAATATATTATTATCTCATATATATATATATATATATGTGTGTTATATTAAAATATTATTTTATTTAAAATTATATTCATAGATTCAAATATTCTGTTTATATCTACCACCAGAAGTCGGGACGTTTCCTATATATAACCGATTGTTCTTGTTTCCCGATGGCAACTGGGCTCAAAAATCATAACTTTTGGTTAGTAGCCCGTAAAACCATATTACATGTATGTAAATATATGTACATTATGTAAATAAGTTTTTCATTTTTAATTCTTACCCCTTAAGCAAGGCAGTACTTTTGTCAAATTATGTTCTTATAAATTACTTTAGCTCAATTAAAACAATCTCTGATCAAAACTATTTTTTTATTATACTTTCAACATTTTAACCACGACTGCATTACCATAATCCTCAACATGATCTAAATTCAAGCTTAAAATCTCTTTTATTTATATAATATATATTTGAAAATAGAATAATCCATAAATAAATATTTAAATAAAAAGGCAAATATTGGATCAAAATATCATTTATTTTACCTATATTCCAGTTGGCTGAACGCCAACCTTTCAGCCAACTGATATATTGGTAAAATAAATAATATATCGATCCAATATATGCATTTTTAATTAAAAATGTATTTATGGATTGCTCTATTTTCAATATATATATATATATATTAATTGAAAGGCATATATTTTGGATCTAAAATAAATCAAAACATTTTATTAAATACCAAAATGCATATATTTATATATATATTGAATATAGAGAATTCTTTAATATCTATAGGAGAAATAAAAACTCTTACTAAATCCAAAATAAGCTTGATAAAAACTACATAAAATTATATACACACTAGCAGTCTCACGTCTATCAGCGGACTAACCTATCCAAGGACCTAACTACCCAATCTAACAAAGCTACGACATATATATAGGCAGATATGCAATTTAGAATAGACAGTATTATAACAATATGCAAATTATAACAGAATTACAAGGTTGTCCCAGAAGTTCGTAAACACTCATTATATAAGATGTTTGCAAACTTTTGAGAAACTTTATACATTGTTGAAATATCCCGAAATTGCCACTTTTAACAAAAGTAAACTCTTTAATATTAAAATAAATTACTTTGATTTCTATTCAAATGTATAAATTAATTACACTACAGAGATATTTACTTGGAAAATGTTCATTTATTTTTCATTAAAATTTAAAGCGCTATGTCTCCCTAGAGACACTTGCACTGTCACACATGTATGTCTTTACATTTGTCTATATACGTATATTAAAATAGAAAAGGCATATACTGACCAGGAGCACATGTGCTTTACAGAAGGCAGAGCGCCATCTAGTGGAACAGAAATCAACTAACATTGATTTATCTTGTTCCCTGATATTTGGTCAACCCAATTTTTTTATTAATCAAGAAAAGCCATCTACGAACCTGTTTCGCGCTTTTGGCGCTCGCCAGCGTGGAGTGATCCTGGTCAAGATATGCCATTTTTATTTCAATATCAACACCTGACCTTTTTAGTTTTGTTTTTTTTTTCTATATTTTTTCATACATATATGTTATAAAAAATGGATTCTGTGCTTGATCATGTCCTCCTGGCTTTTTTTTTTTTTGGATAGATGATATCATTATATTGTTCTGCAGTCGTGGGATTAATAAAAGAGTTTTTATCAGTGATTTCTTTAATTGAGCTTATGGGATATATAAAAAACATAACATAAAAGTACTGCCTGTCTTAAGGCGAGTAGAACAAGGAAAACAAAATATTATTCACATAATGTACAAAAGATTTGAGCCGGCAATCGGGAAACAACAACAACGAGTTTTTATACGGTAAGCGTGACCTCTGGCGGTCGATTTAGCAGAATATTTGAATCTATGAAATATAATTTTTAATAAAATATTATTTTAATATAACATATATATGTACACACTAATTTTAAGACGTAAAGAGAATAGTCATATGATATTAACAAGGAGAAAGAGAAAAAAACGAGAACAGAAAACTGTGTACAAAAGAAAGAAATGTCTCATGAATCTGAATGAATTTATATAATACATATTAGGTTGAATTTTTCCTTTTAAATATTGGAGCCCTCTTTGAAGAATTTCCAACAATTGACATAATGAGCTAATTGTTAATAAATCCTATTATATTCGTGCTATATTTACAAAAATCTGTGAAAAGAAACAAATGCAATTACATTTTCAATAATTACAATCCAATTTACATTTTTATTTGAAGAAAATCCACTTTATTTTAATTGAATACACAATGGTCGTATGTATAATTTCTTTTAGAATTCTTTAAATTCTGGAAATCCTTTATCTCTAGAATATAAATTTTATATATGTAACAAATAAATTTACTGGTAATGTATTTATTTTAAATAATATCATCAAATATTATCTCTACAGACCTTACTACAATGATATAAGTTATTGAATGAGAGGGATTGGCTCATCAGTAGTGAACCCTCAGCGGTATCGCTAAATTAATCTCTAGACCGCTCTACTATTGTAATGGATTCGGTTCAAAATCACTTTAATAGGTACCGCTCAACAAGAGCAACTTATTTTATGATAATTGAAACAGTGAATAATATGCGAAGGTTATTCGCATATTAAGCATATTTTAACGAGGGATTCAATCCCGGTTCATGACTGTCGGGAATCGAGGGTGTTACCTACTCGTCCACCGACTTTTTATTGTTGTATTGGATTGGTTTGGGATATACCCTGCATTTTCTATGGAAGACAGCTTAAGGGTGTTTAGGAAAACTCTGGACAATATCTTATAGGTCTGTAGAGGTACATACATATAATTTCAAAGTATTGCATCGAGCAATGCTCTTCCTCAAAAATGGTTTCATAACAAATATATATTAATTATATATTGGCCAATTCTGGAATGATTAAAAATCAACGAGAATAGTTGATATTTATTCCGATAGATGACGCAAGCCATTAGCAACTTTCAGTTGCACGATAAGGAGATGCCTTTTTCAATAATATATGCACCTAATCCCAGTACAATATCACATTTGTACTGTTTTTCACATTGTGTCGCGGTCTCACGCAATTCTGGCCTTAACTACCCGTTTCATGATTTTTGCAGGATGCCTGAATAACCAGTCAAGCCATCGGCAACTTCCAGTTGCACGATAAGGAGATGCCTTTTTTTTATAAATTTATATCAGTAAATTGCATTTTTAAATTCAATTGCACCTATCGCTGAAATTTGTAACAAATTTAAACTTTATAAGTTTAATATAACTTAATTTTCCATTTACTTTTCATAAAAAGTTAAGATATTTTGATTAACTATATATATGTATTAAATAATACATACGTGTGAATTTGCACTATTATCAGGTTTATAAATTAAAAAATAAGGCATATCTTTCTTAATTTATATGTAATGTTTTGTAATAATAATATTTTTCAATGTAAAGATAGAGGCTGCCTGGCCGGCATTCATATTTATATGAAAAACAGACACTTCGGCCAGTTAGAGTTTTTTATTTTCTCAACGTTTCGACAAAAATCTTTTGTCTTCGTCAGGAGAAGTGAATAAACTGGCCGAAGTGTCTATTTTTCATATAAATTTTTAATGTGTTTATTTTCATATATATTATCAAATATTATCTCTACAAATCTCACTAAAATGTTAAATATTATGATTAAGAGGGCTTGAATCATCAGTGGTGAATCCTCTCAGCCATTTCTCCAAAATTAATCTCAAGATCGCTCTACATTTGTATTGGATTGGATTCACCACTGATGAGCTAAACCTTCTCATTCAATAACTTTTATCATTGTAGTAAAATCTGTAGATAAAATATTTAATTATATATGCCAAAAGAAACACATTTATTGGATCGTTTTTTTTTTTTGAGACAACTCTCAGATTTATAAAATTAATTTATTAAACTACAAACATTTTTAGATATAGAGAGAGAAACGAACCTCGTATTTAAGGCAACAAAAGAATCATCTAATTTACATACATCGTTCTAACCAGATTCAACTTGTGCAAAACAGACGACAAAGAAAAATAAACAAACTAATAATAGAGGGTAAGTTCCTATTTTACAAGCTTTCTCACACTCAAAGAATAATAATTTTCTTGCTTTAAAATTGCCAAAATATTATAATTACAAATTTTAGCGATAGATGTGGCAAGTGAATTTATAAATATAGATATATTGTATTATTGATATTTTGTATCTATAAATACTTCGTTTTCTTTCGTATATTCTACACTTTATAAAATCCTAGAATTATAAATTTTTGATACTGTGTTAGTATTTTAACAAATATAAATTATATATTCAGATACTATATATATTTTCAAAAGAGTTAAACAGAAATATATTTGGGTGAAAAATTGAAAACGCTTTTTTCTTTATATACAATCATTGGCAAATCGTCGGTTGTATTTTTATTTATCTTTTGAGGAGACAGAGGCAATTTTGTTCGAACTTGGTCATTTCGTGTGTCTTCAATAAATCTCACTGTAATATCTTTCAGAATTATTGTCTGAATATCGAAATATATGATAAAATGCACAATTTTCTTAAGTTTTGTCCATGAGTATACTCTATTGATAAACAATAATTTATTGTATTTATATATATAAATGAATTTTATTCTTATGAAAGATTTTTCAATAAAAAGATAAACGTAGTATATCAATAAATTGAAGGGATGATACTCAGGGATACTTAGGTTCATAACTGAATTTTTTAATGGTGTTTTACTCAAAATATAAAACTAAATTTTTAAAATTACAATTAGTCACTCTCAGTTTTCTACACACAACTCACAGTGACAATATATCATCAAAGAATGATATAATAAATAATAAAATGAAAGAGTTCCTGCAATAAATATTGACTCCAATCTATCTATCTATTGAGAATGAATATTGATTTACCATATATTGATTTTCAATGATTATCTTTATTCATAGTTTCCCTTTGCACCGACTGTTCTGATAATACTAGAATATATTATAGGTTTGGTATATATTCCATGAGATCATGTTGAGATTCATAATTGAATCCTAGATGTGCGAGTTTAGTATTTAAAGAAAGAAATGTGTCCAGAGTGTTGAGGAATACACACAGGAAGTTGTACCTTACAGAATGTATATCGGGATTCATACAATACCTCTGAAGGATACACTCATTAACAAAACTTGAGGAAGTTGTACCTTTTAGCATGTATATCGGGATTCAGACAATAACTCTGAAAGATACACTCATGGACAAAACTTAAGGAAGTTGTACCTTTTAACAGGTATATCGGGATTCAGACAATAACTCTGAAATATACACTCATTGACAAAACTTAAGGATGTTGTACCTTTTAGCATGTATATCGGGATTCAGACAATAACTCTGAAAGATACACTCATGGACAAAACTTAAGGAAGTTGTACCTTTTAACAGGTATATCGGGATTCAGACAATAACTCTGAAATATACACTCATGGACAAAACTTAAGGAAGTTGTACCTTTTAACAGGTATATCGGGATTCAGACAATAACTCTGAAATATACACTCATGGACAAAACTTAAGGAAATTGTACCTTTTACCATGTATATCGGGATTCAGATAATAACTCTGAAAGATTCACTCATGGACAAAACTTAAGGAAGTTGTATATTTCAGCATGTATATCAGGATTCAGACAATAACTCTGAAAGATACACTCATGGACAAAACTTAAGGAAGTTGTATCTTTCAGCATGTATATCAGGATTCAGACAATAACTCTGAAAGATACACTGATGGACAAAACTTAAAGAAGTTGTACCTTTCAGCATGTATATCGAGATTCAGACAATAACTCTGAAAGATACACTGATGGACAAAACTTAAAGAAGTTGTACCTTTCAGCATGTATATCGAGATTCAGACAATAACTCTGAAAGATACCCTCATGGGGACAAAACTTAAAGAAGTTGTAACTTTCAGCTTGTATATCGGGATATTTGAAACACAGTGACCTTTATTGAGCACACACGAGAAAACTAAGTGTGAACAAATTTTCTTCTGTCTCCTTCAAAAACATAGACGACCACGATATAAAAGACTCTACCTCTGCTCAGCAGGCCAATCACGGCGTGGACACTAGGAACGATGTACGCATGTTTTTTGTCCAAGAGACTCATGGGAGAAAGGCCAAAGCGGGTGAAGATTGTGCGCTCGGCGGAGCTGAACCTGACCTGCCAAGCTGCCAACGCCCGCTTGTAGATTGTCGATTTAAGTTTCGACAGAATAGAAATTCGGCAAAAGCCAGGAATGATATAGGCAACAAAAGCCCTTGCATCCCCTGTTTTTCGCTGAAAAACCACGTCACACAGCCAGAAGGAATGATGCATTCTCCATGCACCGAGCGGCCTTTGGTAGGCCCCTCGCGCCCGCCAGTATGGTCCGGCTACAATGGGGTTGACCACTCACCCACAGGCGTCTCCGAGAGTTCATTGGCAAGGTTGCTGACCGAGCCCTCTCGTTCGGACTTAGAGCCATCCGTCCTACGCTCCAATAGGACTCCCCCCCCCTTTAGCCCTCGAACCCTTAACCAGTACTCCCTGAATCTGCCGTCGAATCAAGGACCTCTGAGGAACTGAGGTTTACGCGGGGAACGCCGTGAACGCGGGGGGGTGGTACTACTGTGTGCACCCCTTGGTTTCTCATGGTGCGCACGACAAGGACGCTCCCAATGACGCACACACAGAGCGAAGACCCAAGAGTTTCAAGTCACGTGCGCCTCGCCTCAGACAACCAAGGACAGCTTACAGCTTCACTGGACATCAGTCAGTGGCACCCCGACGGAGGACACACGCAGAGACGCCTCTCAACTCACTCCCCTCTAGAGTGATTGTAGAGGGCGGGAAAAACTCCTTCCCCGCTTAAGTTTCGACAGCGGTGCGAGGCGATGGCACCTCGGGAGATCATATTCCGCCCCGCGTTTCGCGAGCACATCAGCTACCTCATTACCATAAATCCCGCTGTGGCCTTTGATCCATTGTATGGTACATCTGTTCCCATTGCGGTTCAGTTGTGAAATCAGCAACAAGGCTCTGTTGACCAGGAGGTTGCCAGTTCTGGAGTTTAGAACGGATTTCACAACTGAGAGGTTATCCAGGAGAATTTCAATGGTGTAATTGTCGGGAAGCTTTGAGGCGTCCTCAAGTGCTTTAAGCAAGCCAAGTGCCTCCGCTTGGAAGACAGAACAGTACGGGGACAGGACAAAGCTTCAACGCAGTTCATTCATGGAGCCATTCGCACACACTCTATATAGGCCTGTGCCAACTCCAGTTTTCGTCTTGGAACCATCTGTGTAGTAGATGACGTCAGCAGAAAGATCAGGAATATTAATGGGAGCGGAGTAATAGGGAGGATAGGGAAGTGGGTGAGGGCAGGGGGGAGGCTCGACTGGAAAATCAGCGTCAACAAAACTGTGCTTTTTAAAATACAATTCCGCCTTGGCGCCGACATCCAGATCGAGAGGGAGAACACGTGAAAGAGAGATGAGAGAGCTATTGGCAGTTGTTTTAAACGCGCGGCATGTCCCGATGAGGAACGGGCGCTGCGCGCTTAAAAGAGTGTTTAAGGAGCGTTGTTTAAGATTAGAAAACCACATGGGAGAAGCGTAAGAGATGGCTGGGACCACGACCTGTAGATAGAGCATCCTCAGGGCACGGAAACCAAAGCCAAAATTGGAGTTGGCGGCTGCTGTCAAACGCGGGAGAAATCCGCGGACTCTTGTGCAAACCTCAACCACATGCTGGTGGAAGGTGAGACGCTGATCAAACCTTACTCCAAGCACTTTGATTGAGTCGCTCCATTGAATGGGTTGACCATTAATGGTTAGATCGCAGCTAGGCTTTAGTAGTCTGCCAGTACGTCTTAGAAGGAGCATGGCCTGACACTTCCTCACGCTGAGTTCCAGTTTATGCAGGCCACACCACCTCGTGATCTCGTTAATGGCAAGTTGCGCCGCTCCAAGTTGATTAGTAACTTGGCCCGCCACCACCATGACAAGATCGTCGGCGTAGGCCTGCGGGTGTACACATTTTTTAAAGTTGAGCGTGAGGAGCTCGTCAAAGACAAGGTTCCAAAGAAACGGCCCAAGAACTGAGCCCTGCGGGCAGCCTTTGGAAACCTGCCTCGTGACCGTGCAACCATTCATAGACAGTCTGACAACACGGTTATTGAGGAAGGAGCGAATCAGGACAAACAGGTTTTTTGGACAATCATTCATACACAGAGCTCGCAATATGCTGGAGTGTAGCACATTGTCAAAAGCGCCTTTCACATCAAAGGAAAGAAGAACAGAAGATTTTCTATGCTGAAGCGACCGGGAGAGATTATTTTTTAAATTTAGAAGTGTGGCGACAGTAGATTTGCAGGGCCTGAAACCGAACTGGTTTGGTTGGGCTTTACACATTCTCTCAGCTCGCCACGAGAGCCTGGCCAGGATTAGACGCTCTAGAATTTTACCTAAGCCAGGCAGCATCGTGATGGGCCGATGAGACGCGAGAAAGTCCTCATTACCTTTTTGGGGAATGAGTATGACATCACCCAGTTTCCAAGGGGTTGGAAAATGTCCAGTTTCACACACACACAAAGCACCTATTGAAGATCTTTAAAAAGAACGTCGGGAATTTTTTAATTAATTTAACAATGACAAGAGGTGGCATACCATCACTGCCAGGAGCAGAAGTTAGGCTAACCTTATCCGCAGCCAGAAGCAGTTCTATTTCTGAGAACGGTGGGTCGTTATTAGAGGTGGACTGCACGACTTTATGTAAGTTAACATGCTCTACTGTTGTATCGGGCGGGACGCGGCCGAAGTAGTGCATTAAAACGTGTTCTAGAGTGTCCCGCGGACTGTCAGTGAGATCATCGCCAACCAGGAGAGAGGAAAGAGGCTTCCTCTTGGTGGAGCCTTTTATAAATTTATAAACGCCGCCCCAGGGGCTAACCTCACAAAGCGAACAGATCCTTCTCCATTCAGCAGACTTCCCGTGTCTGATAGAGGTGCGAAATCTATTATATAATTTCTTATAAAATATTTTCAACACGCTTCTAACAGGCCCACGAGCTTTTCTCCAGGCCCGTTCAGCTTTTTGAGTAACCTTTTGGAGCGGATTTAGTTCAGGTTTCCACCAAGTGGGTTTCTTAAAAAAAATATTGGCGGCAGGTTTAGAGGGAATGGTTTGTAGACACGAGTGAAACACCTCGTCTTTTAGTAAATTAATTACTTAATAGACTTGAGTTGTGTCACTTGCGTCCAGTAAGGATGAAATTCTAAAAAAAATTTTTTTTAGAGCTAGAAAAAAAAAATTCCCAGGCGAACCAAAGCTGAAGTGTACTTCGCTAAAAGTATCTCGACTTATTTAGGCATACAATTTTAGTCAAATGGTATTCTAGCAAAAAAGAAATATAACAAATTGTTTACAATAAAATATAAAATAATTTAATAAAGAATAACTAAATATTTACATTTACAAAATGTAACTTTTATAACACACAAAGTTTAACACAGCGCCATCTAGGTGTGGCAATTGGAATTATTTAACCCTACAGTAGTGAGCGCAATAGAAAATTGTTTTTTACAAGAATATAAAATAAATCGTCAAATATAGTTTTGATTTCTTATAATTATCAACTCTTTGACCACAATTGAGAGAAACAATAAAAGAAATATTATTAAATAAATAAAGCTTCCAGGGTTAAGTTTCTTGTACAACCTTTTATTTCAAGCTTTCGGATTTGTCAGTCCTTCAACAGGATTTTCACTTAAAAATTTAGTAATAAATACAATTTATATATACAAGTATCAGAGTCATCAACAATCAATTCTGTCATCGTTTGCTTTTGTGAATGGAATGGCCATTTCTTATAAGCATCGGTGGTTCAGTGGTAGAATGCTCGCCTGCCACGCGGGCGGCCCGGGTTCGATTCCCGGCCGATGCATTTTTTTTTTTTTTTACAATTTTTAAAACTCATTTATATTATTATCTTATATATAAAAGTCAATGTCTGTTGTCTGTTTCGCGATAAACTCAAAAACTACTGAACCAATTGGTACCAAATTTTGCATGTCGCTTTTTATAAACCCGTATTGCTATTCTATGACACTTCACCATTTATTATTGATGTTATTTCAGTATGAAGGAAATTGCATTCAGGGGGAATTCTCGGGCGAAGCCGGGTCATTCGTCTAGTTTTTATATACGCGTTATTATATACATATTTAAATACCTACTATATAATGAGAGAAAAATAGATTACATTATTTCTGTTTGATAATCAAAATATTTTGAAAATATACGTGCGTGGTGGATGATACGTGCTGGTTGAATGATATCTCGAGACTTCAAATTAATAGAAATATATACTGAGTATACCAATCAATCAAAATGAATATATGTATATTAATATAATTAAGTTTTATATTCTATTATATATTATATTGTCTCAATTATTATATATATAAAAGTGTAAATATAAAAATGGCATATCCTGACCAGGAGCACATGTGCTTTACAGAAGGCAGAGCGCCATCTAGTGAAACAGAAATCAACTAAACATCGGTTTAACCTGTTCCCTGATATTTTGCCAACCCAATTTCTTGATAAATCAAGTAAAGCCATCCACGAACACGTTTCGCGCTGTTGGCGCTCTTTAGAGTGGAGTAGGGTGTAAAACTGCGACCAACAATAATTTTGGTCCCAGTGGCTTCTTGAAAAACTAAGAAATGGGTATTTAAGGCCAAACTTGCGTAATATAATAATAATAATATAAATAATAATAATTTTTCTATTGTTTTTTTCATATATATGTGTGTAAATACATTATATTTAATACAAGTATTCAAATAGATAGATAGTTGTAGAGGAATCAAATAAAGGAAGTATCCCAAGAATGTCAGAGATCTGCCTGGCGACCTATTCCCATCCCTTATTACCTGGAACTAAATAAATGGAGAAATATTTTTCACCAAACTTAAACAAAATATTTGCAGATAAAGGTTGTAGAGTGTAAATGAATTTTTAAATAGAAGCTTAGAACGGACATTTGAATTTAGAAGAATTGAATTAGAAAATAATAGAAGAATCGTGATTTAATGTTTACTTTTACTTCGTATAGATGGCGCGGTATTTACTCAATAATATATAACACAGGTCTACAAAAAAAAACTTTTTTTCCCGGAGAAAACCTGATGTTTATTCTAATGTAACTTTTCATGCTGAAAATAAAAAATGAAATCCAAAGTTTTCCATCACCCATAGTTCTTGTAGGATAACCATTTTTTCTATAAATTGTAATATACAGTAATAATGCAGAAAAGGTTACGTAAGCATTTTTTAAGTAAACATCATTACATTAGCTAGAGCTTTATTTTTGACAAGAAGAGTTGATATGTGGAGTCAAAAACTTTATTTTATTCGTTATTATTTAAATTTTGCTCTTTAAGAATCACAAATATTAATTTAAATAACAAATTTATGAATTTTTATATTATTACGGTTTGGATAAATTTTAAGACTTTAAACGCATGTAAGGCGAGCTAATATGCTATATTTATTTCGAAATATTTTTACTTCTTATTTATTTATTTATTTCAATTCAAAACGCTATGTCCCCCTAGGGACAATTGCGCTAAATGTACATACAAATATAACAAAGAAAATATTCAATATACACAGAAAGCGACTTAGAAATATTCATAAATATTATTTACATATATAGAGATAAAGAATCCCAGTACAATGTTACATTTGTACTATTTTTTCACATATATAGAGATATTCTTTGAATTTTATTTACAGTTACATCATTAAATTTTAAAATATATACATATATACACACATATACACGCATAAACCTATATATTGTTTACAACCACAAGATATATCCAATATTTCCTTGAGATCGTTACATCAAAGACCATTTTTCTTAATGAAATCCAAAATATATTTACAAAGGAAATTAAGTTTTATATATGTGTCCTTACTTGAAATAAATCACTAGGGCCTAAAGCTATTACGCCGTTGTTGACTCTGTAATCTTGAAAGACAGGGCACTCTAGCAAGAGATGTATTGAAGTTTGTTCCCCCAATCCACAGAAACATGTCGAATTTTGCACAGCCTGAATTTTCTTAAACTTCTTAGAAATATGTTTAAAAAGGCATGTTTATAATATAAAAAGGGTTTTGAAATAGAGCGATCCATAAATAAATCTTTAATTAAAAAGGCATATATTGGATCAAAATATGATTTATTCTATCAATATTTTAGTTGGCTGAACGCCAACCTTTATCAAGGTATTATAACATATTTAATGTGTCAACAACATACTGTGGCGCTGAGTTTGTTGTTGACACACATTAATATGTTATAATACCTTGATAAAGTTGGCGTTCAGCCAACTGAACTATTAGTAAAATAAAATGATATTTTGATCCAATATATGCCTTTTTAATTGAAGGATATTCAAATATTTATAATAAATATTCTTTTCTGGTTTTATATTTTGATTTAATAAATGAGGAATCTAGGGTTTGGTTTATTTTCTCATTTATTTTTTATACCTCTAACTTTCAGGATAACATGCCCTTCAACACAGAGATACTGAAGTACAACTTCTATCCAATTATAACACACCGAATTTTGAGTGTTTAGACTAAAACAGTATTAAAAAACAGTTCGGGGGGTCGGTGGAAGGCTGGTTAAACCGTTTCGTTTCCGACCACTAGGACCCGGGTTCTATTCCCGCATTGGACACTTTTTCTGTTTAAAAAAAAATGCTCCAATCGCCCCCGATTCTTGCAAAAGTCCAACCCCACCAGCGAGTGCAAATAACCAAACGGGGCTATGGCACATTTGTAAGTGCAAAGTCGAACTGCTTCTCATATGTGTAGACATGTGGTGCGCTTACAGTAAAATGCAGTCGCTAACTACCCACCATGATTATCATGGCCTGTACCACGTGTATTAGGGATAAGCAAAAAAAACAGTTCCCTTTGAAAATTAAACGATTTATAGCCCGTCAAAGGATTCTATGGCTATTTTTCCGCAAAATATCACGGGATTTTGGAACAGCGACCCTTTAAATTGCTACTTCTGCAATTCTGTCATCCAAGACAATTTGGTCCATTATCTATTCCATTGCCCATTTCTATAGGAAAAGATACTGGAAATTGGCGATATTTCGGGGCTAACTCACTATAATGAACAACATGTATATACAATTTTTACTGCTCTCCTGCTGGATAAAACATTTGTTTATAAATATTAAAAATTTTCAAGGTGATTGATAAAATGGGAGAAGTGCTCAACTCCACAGACAACAGCTGATTGCTCCCCCTCCCCTCTAAATTGCTTTTCCTCCTCACTCATGTACATATATAACCTTTATGGGGAATCCCCTTTTGAGACAAGAGTGTCTTAATAAAGGTTTTGTTGTTGTGGTATAATACTTGAATTATTTGTAAGTAGAACGATGTTTGACAATTAAACCGCAAATGTTTCTTTTGAACGAAAATCGAAATTTATTTTAAGGAGAAATAACGATTATTTCTTTCCTTAGGGATGAAGTATGAAAGGTAATGTTAAACGGAAAATTAATTTACTCATGTACATATATAACCTTTTAGGGGAATTCCCTTGTAAGACATTAGTGTCTTAATAAAGGTTTTCATTGTTGTATTAAAAACGGTAAATGTTTCCCAGATGGAGATTATAAATAATTCAGAGGAAAACATGCCATGAATATTGATAGAAACAACATAGGAATTCAAGGCACAATCTCTTAGATGCATTCAAATATACAATCTTCTTCTCTACTTCCTACAACTACCGGTTTCCAACTTCAATTTATTTGACACAAGAAATAAAAACGATATTTTCAGGAAACAAAATAACAGTGGGCTCTCGAAAACTAAAGTAAATTTAAGAAAATTACTCCGAAAAATATTTTAGGTTGAATATTCACATTATTTTCTCACATTTTTATATTTTTTCAAATATATATATTTATTTTTATTATAGTTAATTAAAATATATATTTATATATAATTTATTTTTGTTAATTAATAGGTAAAAATATATCTATTAGAATAGAAAATTGCTATAAAATATAAAATTAGACTATAAATAGTGGAAAATAAGAATTAAAGAAATGAATTACTACTTATTATATTCTTATTCCAAAAATATATCTGTGATTTTTTAAAAATATATTCTGACCATTGACTATAGAATTATGTTATTCGCCTAGCAGCCATGAAACAGACTTTGGGTGTGTGAATAAAAGTTGAACAAAATTGCGTCTATCTCCTTCAAAAAAAAAACAGACGATTTGCGACATGAGTGTATATATTAAGGAGTTAAGGCAATTTA